GCAATACCAGTTACTCCTAGGGGTGGTGCTGTGACAGGATTTATAATGGTAAATGATCTGCAATTCAGCATTGGCTCAAATGGTCATGCCATTCTTGTGCTTCTGTGAAATCTGTGTTAATGAATCATCTGTAGCAGTGCCATTTTGTTGGATGATTAATGCAAACTTTTTAACATGATCTCTGGTGGCTCCACTGTGTTTCTTAAGCTTTCTACAGAATTAGATGTGAAATTTTCTTTTGCTGAATGATATCTTACTTGTTACAAGGATGGTTTAGTCCCATTTATCAAAAGGATTTTTTTTGGAGTTGTGAAGGATCTCCTCCCTCTCACCACCCCCCACCCCCTCCACTTCTCTCACAATCTCACCCCCATCACCCAAAGCTAAAAGATCCTTTTCCGTCTCTTCTTTATTGGCTCAGTACTGTTACGAAGTTGTGTACAGTAATCGTGAATTTGAAGGTAGGAAACTAGAATTTTGTTTGTAAAACATGATAAGGGAGAAGAGTGCACGGTTCCTTTAAGAGGTAAAGCTTAGAGATTTATACAGGGGAAAAAATGTGTTTGTATGTAGCTGAAGATGTGCAGCCAGTTCCGAAATGGAAACATATATCAGTTGGTTGTGTGTTTGGAAACCTTAGGCTTGTTTCGATGTTTTGGCAACTAGCTAGAATCAGCCAATATATTTAAACCAAGCACTTAGCGATCGAAAGCCAATTGAATTTAAATCTGACAAACTCGGACCAATGCTATTGTAAGAAAATTGATATGTCATCCAAGGTATATAAGGAGAGGATTTTTGAAAATCAGGGTGACAGCAAACCACCATCTGAGAAATAAACATCTAGCTCTCACAAGAATTCGCTAAGCTCTCTAAGAAAGCACCATCTATCCATAAAAGCTACTACGGCGCTTCTAGCTAAGAGTGCTCACAGAAGACTTCACAGCGAAAACATCCCTGACAGCCAGATCAGCGGAATGAAGGTGTTTATGACTTGAGAACAGCAGAAGAAAGATGCATAGACTTTGAGAGATTGAGTTTTAATTTATTTTCTTATACTTGGGTTTATATAGGCAGGACTTGTGTTTAATGGACAGCATACCAGTAGAATTTAGTTCCGTGTAGGGAATAGTTAGCAGTTAAGGGGAAATTGTTTGGTTTACATAGAACATAGAACAGTTTAGCCCCTCTGTTTCTCGCACTCGGTTTCAGCCCCTCTGTTTCTCGCACTCGGTTTCTCGCCCTGTGTTTCAGCCCCTCTGTTTTGGTTTATTATCAGAGGGTTTCAAACTCTTCTCTATAACAGTACTCAACACCAACAACTGCCAATTTCCAGGTGCCATCCTACATTTCATCTGCTTCATCCTCGACCACAACATCTTCACCTTTGACATCAAGCTGTTCATCGAGACACATGGAACAGCCATGGGGACCACAGTAGAACCCCTGTATGCCAATGGCACAATTTTGAGCAAGACTTCTTTTCTGTACAGAATCTTCAACCAACGCTATACACCAGACACATCAACATTTTGTTCGTTTGGACTCACAGCGAGGAATCACTGAAATGACCACACAACGATATCAAAAGTTTCATCCCATTGTCAGACTTACCATGGACTACTCTTCAGAATCAGTCTCATTCTTGGACCCACGTATCTCCATCAAGGACAGACACCTTAGTACTTCACTCTACCACAAGCCCACGGATAATCTCATGATGCTGCACTTCTCCAGCTTCCATCCGAAATATGTTAAAGAAGCCATCCCCTACTGACAAGCCCTGCGTATACACAGGATTTGCTCAGACAAGGAGGAACACAACAGTCACCTAAAGATGCTGAAAGATGCCCTCATAAGAGCAGGAAGTGATGCTCAACTCATCAATCACCAGTTCTGACATGTCACAGTGAGAAACCGCAATGACCTCCTCAGAAAACAGACACAGGCTATGACGTATAGAATACCCTTCATTGTCCAGTACTTCCCCAGAGTGAAGAAACAATGTCATGTTCTTTGCAACCTTCAACATGTCATCGATGATGACAAACATCTCGCCAGGGTCATCCCACTTCTCACCTTCAAACAATTGCCACACCTTTAAACAGACCATCGTTCGCAGCAAACTACCCAGCCTTCAGGACAACATTGACCACAATACCACACAATCCTGCCATGGCAACATCTGCAAGACATACCAGACTATTGACATGGATACTAGCATCACATGTGGGAACACCACCCACCACATACAGAGTAAGTACTTACGTGACTCAGAAAATGTTGTCTACCTCATACGCTGCAGGCAAGGATGTCCCGGGGCATAGTATACTGGTGAGACAATGCAGACGCTATGACAATGGACACCGTGCGACAATCATCAGGCAGGAGTGTTCCCTCCTAGTGGGGGAAGACTTCAACAGTCAAGGACATTCAGCCTCCAACTTTCAGGTAAGCATCCTCCAAGATACACAACAACGTAGAATTGCCGAACAGAAACTGATAGCCAAGTTCAGCATCTCTGAAGACAGCCTGAACTGTGATCTTGGGGTCATGTCGCCCTACATGTAATCCCACCATACTGTTCTGTATTTGTAAAATCTTCCTTACTGTCCTGTTTGACACCTTGATAACTTGTTATGATCTCTCTACTTTAATTAATTTGTACAGTTTTGGATTACTTGTTACATTGGTGAGACCCTTGGTGTGTGACTCTTATACCTATCATGTTATTCCAGCCATTTGGTTTGTCTCCAGCACCACCTTATTTTTAACTTTTTGTAATTATCTCTCTGCCTTATTTAATCAGATAGTAGGTCATCGCTTCGTTTGTTATTCAGCTATTGACACTTTACTCAAACCATCTGACACTTTTGATCACCTACAGAGACTTGTTATTCAGCCTGTTGACACTGCACTCACACCATTTGTATGATCTTTTGATTTCTCTGCCTATAAATTCTGTGCCTGTGTGCTTCTCTTCACTTCACCTGATGAAGGAGCAGCACTCTGAGAGCTTGTTATTTCAAATAAACCTGTTGGACTATAACCTGGTGTTGTGTGGCTTCTGACCTTATCTGCCCCAATTCAACATCAGCACCTCCACATCATTCTTTATTGGAAGATCTTTTCCAATCCTGAAGTTAAATTTGAAAGTAGAAAGTTAGTGATGGTGTTTGGGCGGAATGCAAAAATGAATCACTGAACACTTAGGTCCACTTCCAGCATCAAAGAGTTTGTTCTACACTCATGGAGAGGAAACCTTTGGCAGTCCAGAGACGTATCCACTGAACAATGGGACACGTCCACTTTTTTTTAATGAATTTGCTTTTAGACTGCCTTTGGCTGTTACAAACCAATCATTATTAATTGATTATATTCATGTCCAATCAGGTTAACCATGTGACTGTGCTAAGTGCATGGACAGTTTTACATAATCCCATCATTGTTATTAGATCCCGCTCTCACTTATCCTTGGGCCTTCACAATATATCAAGTGTCTTCAACTACATACCAGATAGCCTTCATTTGCTGAAAAGAGGGATCTCTTCAATCTATCCTAAACAAATTCTTCTAATTCCAAATGAGAGCAGGAGGCAGTAATAATAGTCACCGATGTACTGGAGAAACAGTTGTGAGAAGGACTGTTTCACACACTCCACAAAAGGGAAGGCATAACTAGGGCCCATAATCACATTTTTTTTTTAAATATGGAAAGTGAGACAGTTGAAGGAGAAATTATTCAGTAAGAATGAACAGGGTCAAGCAGAGGAGGGTGGTGGTGATGGGACTGCTCAGGTCTCAAAGAAGTGAAGACACTCAGGCTGTGCTGTGGGGAATTAAGCTATAGATGTGTAGTGAAGAGGTGGTGGTTACAGCCAGAAAACTGGAAATTGTTAAACTAACATAAACCGTCAGAAGAATTATGAATGTAGTTGGGAAGACAGTAAACAAAGGGAGAAAAAGAGAGTCAAGATAGGGAAAAATAAAATAAGTTCAGTAGGGCAGGAACAGGTTGAAACTATGGGTCTGCAAGGGCAGCCCTGTTTGTGGAGTTTGGGAAGAAGGTAGAAGTGGGCTGTGTAAAGTGGAAAGCTGTGGAGGGAAGATCTTCAGAGGAGGTGATGTCAGTGACAGTTGAAACAATGGCTTGATGTTCAGCACTGTAGTCGCAGTCTAGAGGGAGATAGGAAGCAGTGTGTCTACCACCCTACACCGCACCCCCCCACCAACTCCCTAATGTCTGTATCTTGTTTTTCACGACTTTGCTTTCAGTTGGAACTCATCTTTGTTATCACTTACTCTGGATCTATTCCATGTTTTCTCTATAATATTACACTCCTTTGTCTTTTCTTCGTTCCCTTTAATATTTCCCTGACTTGCATTTCTGTTCCAAATGCCCTTCTTGACCTCTCATTGGTTTAAAAAAAAGTCATTCGTCTTTAAACATCATCTGGTTCTGTCTACACAGCTTCTGAAAGGCCTGCCGAGTTTCTCCAGCACTTTGGGTTAATATTAACGAGAACACTGAAGAACTGTCCTGTTTTGTTTTGAATAGTCATAAGAGTCATACAGTATGGAAATAGACAAACGGTCCAATCAGTCCATGCCGAACATAACCCCAAACTAAACTAATCCCACCTACCTGCTCTTGGCCCATATCCCTCCAAACCTTGCCTATTCACGTACTTACCTAAGTGTCTTCTAAACATCGTAACTATGGCACTCAGAGTGGCAGATAGGATTTCAGTTTTCATGACTCAACGAAAAGGCAGTAATACCTACAGTGTAGCAGACACACTGTGCTGAGGTATCAGGCTATGTGTACACTGTTTCTGAAGTGGCAAAACAAAATGTACAGCTGAGCATTGAATATTGCAACAAAATGTTTATCTTCATGTAAAAGTTGTATCTTAATCAATTGGCATGACATTAGAAAATTTCACTAAAGATCAAATCTTTCTCTGTCATTTATTGATAAAAGTCAGTAACTTGTTCGATTTAAATTTAATAGTACATTTAATAAATTTTTCACAGTACATTGCTTAATTTACAAGTAAATCTGGCATCATTTTACACATTCATTGATGAGAAATAAAATAGCCAAAAGCTTCTGAAGCAAAATATTTTAAACAGAGGTACCAGTGACTATGCTCAGTTCACTAAACAATGTAAATTTACATCTCAAAAGAATTTAAAAGTTATCTTTTAAACATTTGCAGCATTTGATTTAGTTAAAACATATATTTGCGTTTGAAAACTATCAAAATCATATCACAGAACACTTCTTAAAACATCTTCAATTTACTTGAAATATATTTGTTTGAAAGGGATGAGTTAACACCACCAAGGGAACCACAGAAAACTACTAATATGCCACTGCAAAACATGAAAGGATTGATAAGTTTTCTCTAACCAAAATGATGTATGAAAGAAACTTGCAAAGAAAGTATGAAGTTCAACAGTTTTGAAATGCAGCCCACATGGCCTGTAATAACCAGGAATATAGCTAATGTTCACAAGGCAAAATAAAATGGAAGAAATACAGAAGATCCTTCCTTCTTAATTTGGCAACGTTCTTCTATCATTACCAAAATGATAACTAAACACAGCTTTATACATATATACAAATTAAATGCCTTCCATTCATTACTCTGGCAGTCATAAATACAGCAATGTGAAAATTAATTCAGTTCTCATTGTGAGCTGAATGTAAATACAATGGGGAAGCTTTGGGCAGAAAAGGGCAGAAGTGTACAATGATAATTAAAAAATTACTGTTTGAATATCATCTTTTTACTGCTGCGTGTGACCGGCATTATTTCCTATAAGTAATGCAAAATTGATCATTTCTAGTATACTGATAATTTGTTATATGTAGCACAAATTTCTATTCAAGTTAATGGGTAATGATTTTTTTGAAAATGTATAGGTAAAAATTAATTGATATGCTAATGTATAGACACTTAGTGCAATTCAAAATTCTGTGATGTAATTCAGAAACAAAACAGGTAAATAATATAATTATAACTTTAAAAAAAAACTCATTCTGCACCAAGCTAACTTTCGAGTGGAAATCTGATTATTGGCTTTACCAAATGAGGATATTTGCCTTAGATTTTAAAAAGCAAGATGTAGCTTGTGGTAGTCACACACCAGTTTTACTCATAAGAGTTATGTTATACAGCAAAAACTATTTTTGTGGGAAAACATATGGAATATTAAGATAATCTTTCCCAACCTCAACTCTTAATTAAACATGTACTGCCTAACAAGCAGGCTACAGGAAATGTTTTAGTACTCATCTGCAGCATCAGACTTCTTAAGCTTACATAGCCAATCGTGCAAGGAGATAGTAGCACCAGTGCCATTTGCAGCTCAGTCACAAACAGCAACTACAATGTTGGTGTTACTTCATATTGTTTTCTTCTCTCAGAACAATACATCCTCATTTTCAATCAAGAGTTGAACAATCAGTCTCTGGTATCGCATATCATTCAAAGTTGCCAGTGTATTCTGTTCAGGGGGTCGCATTAATGTAGGCCCGAACACAATTCCAAGGTTTTCAGCATTCATCAAGTTGTCCTTTCCAAACATAGTTACCCTATAAAGAATGGGATTAATCTGTTAGATATATTTATGATTATACAACACTCCAATACTTTTCAACGTCTATGCTTTGTTGTATATTTGTATTGATTCAGGTAAAGTGGAAACTTTCATAAGCCTAAACTAAGGCTCTCATCTTGTTTTAAAAGTAGCAGTGGATTTATCAATATATCAACAAATACAAATTCAGTGAAAAACCTAGAAAATTTATAATTGTGACAGAACACCAAATTAACCTTATTTCACAGATTTCTAAAATCTCTTCTTTTCAATCAATATTTCAGCAGTTAGTAATAAAATTATACAGTTTCCAGTTCAGGCCTCGTATGAGGTCAGAAGGTGTGAGATTAGCAATAAAATAATAGTATAGGATTATGACCAAAACAAAGAACAGGCAATACAATAAATATTGACTTGATTTTTTGCCAGCTCCATTACACTTTTTAGTGGGAAGTCCTAAAATGTTGTTTGAGGGCAGAAAAAGTTTGCTTTTTAGCTACTGTATTAATTAGAAGTTTACTAAGTTGGTAAGTTTTTCACACAATTGCACATATCGATTAAATATGGTAAAAAAAATTATTTGACCAGCCGTGATTATCAGTTTATATACTGAACAGAAGTGTTTATTGTCACAACTATGATGAATCACATAGCATGTGATTTTCTCTAAGATATAGGACAATCAAACATACTGGCAGCACATAATAGCACAACACACTCACTGCAGCTTTTTTTTAGTGAATGCTATTAAACAAATGCCAGAAGGGAAAAGGGTTAAGGCATGGATAATCATTCAAACTAGTTGTACTCAACAAGCAAATCATCAATTGATACAAGTCATCAAAATATGCATGTTAGTAGCTCAGTTTCTAAAAAAAAATTTATGATACATGCTAAATGTCAAAAGGCAAAAGGTCATATGCACATGGATGTGCATGGCACTAAAGATAAAAGATGCAAATCATAAATACATAATTATTATTGTGGGTGAATCTGATTGCTCGGCAATATGGACCAACAAAATGTGTTACAGCACAAAGAATAGTTGTTTCATACAGTCATAGGTGTTCAGTTATACAACTGATTTTCAGGTTAATGCATTAACTGCTTTTAGTTTAGTAAGCTTAGAGTGCTGGAACCATTGATTCTACTTCTTAAGTTACAGGTCCAACAGGTTTATTTGAAATCACAAGCTTTCAGAGTGCTGCCTCTTCGTCAGGTGAAGTTGACATCATAACTAGATAGTTGTGGGTTGGACACCTAAGAATTCAATCATCAACACTGGCTAGAATTTTATGTCCCCTTTGTGGGTAGATTGGTAGTAAGTATAGTGGTGTAAAGTTAAGTGGGAAGGCAGGAGAGTGTATTGGTTGTTGTCCCCATTGGAATTTTACTAGCAGCAAAGGAGATGTTTTGGGTGGCTTGTCTGCTGTAAAGCCAACTGAAAAACTTAGCTGGCCTCTTAAGGGCCTTCTCCAGCCACTGTTGACATTTGACTGGTGTTGAGGAGGGAGGGCCCTTGCCAATCAGTGAGGTCACCACATATACTTTAACAGGGGGATTTCCTCCTGTTTGGGCAGCCTTTGCTCCACTAAGGGTCTTTCAATGTTACAGGTTGTCCATGCTTGCTTAATCCCAAATGGCTCCTCTGACACTGAGTGAGCCATTAGTCCTTACTCCTGCTGACTACCTGACTCTTCTGACATGCCCATCCCACTTACCTAGTGCTACGGTGCTGCTTCTAGTCACGAGTTTACTACAGACCCTGCAGTGGCCACTGATCTCAGTAGCATTCTTGGGACTGAGGAGCTGCCAGCTGTCTAACTGACCAGTAGCTCTTGGGGGTGGAAGGAATTGCCTGATGCAGACAGAAGTCCTGGTCTTGGGCAACTACAACAAAATAAAATAACACAGATACTAGAAAGCTTAAGTTAAAACAGGAAGTCGTGGAAATACTTAATATAACTCACGATGAACTCCTTCATCGACCTGAAATGCTATCTTAGTTTCTCTCCATAGATGCTGCCTGACCAGCTAAGTATTTCCAGCATTTTCTGTTTTATTGCCTTAGGCAAGTAATTAAGTAATTATTTGGGGACTGTAAAATCCAGCTCTGGCCTTCAAGGCCAACCCTGCAGCTGCTGGGCAAGGCGACAGCATCTGAGTTTCTCTCAGTATTCTCGTTGAGATGCATCAGGAATACATTTATATCTCTCTCCATTTTCCCCTCAGAATAAAAAAAAAGGAACTCTAGGCTTGTTCTGGTTAGTTGGCTACCCTCAGAGTAGGGTTGGTAACAACTATGGTGATAGTCGTGAAAAGCTATCCTGCTTTCCTACAGAAATAATTAATGACTACTCTCGTGAATAAAAAATGAAATGAAGTAAGAATTTAGATAAAAATATTTTGAAATTCACATTTTCTTAAAATAGTGCCTCTGATTATTGAGGATAATTTCATGAAAATAAGTTCAATAATTTTTTTAAAATAAAAAGCATTTTTTTTTGTTGAAATATTTGGTCAATGAAAGCTCCAGAGAAATTATTTTAAACCAAAGGGACGCAAATGTAATGAAGGAGAACAAAGGAATCAGAAAAAAAAACAGATGACAGTCACTAAACTGGTTTGAGCAAATTTAATACATCATTGCAGGTTAACTTCAAGAGCAATGTGCAATGCTGAAATAGTCTCCTGTTAGTTTCTGGTTTGTGACATATTATGACAACATTTGTGAAACATGATTTGAAGAATATTTAGAACTGATTAAACAGCTATCAACATATTTTTCATTGTGATTAGTACTTCATGGAATTGTGCATGTGATTTGATTTTCATCATTAAAAAGAACTGGAATGAATTCAAATATTGCAGAATAATAATTGCCATAAGTAAAGGTACAACACCATATGTAGGTCCTTTAATGCAGAAAAATGTTCTAAAGGACCTATTATATCAGACAAAATTTGACAATGAGCCACACAAAGTGATTAGTTAAGGTGATCAAAAGATTGGCCAAATAAATAAGTTTTAAAGTCCATCTTGAAGGTGAAGAGAGAGATGAAGCAGGTTCTGAGCAAATCCAAGAGCATAAAGCCCAGGCAGGCATAATCAAGAGCTGAAGAAAATCAGGTCTGCACATGATTCCAGAATTGGAGGAAAGCAGTGCCCTTATGAGGTTATGTAGTTGGAGAATATAGAATAATGGGGAGGGGTGAAGCCAAGAGGGATTTGTATGCAAGGACGGAAATTTGAAAATCAAGGCATTGTTGGACTGGAAGCCAATGTAGGCCAGCAAGCATAAGGTCAAAGAAACAAAGAGCTATAGGTAAATTTACATATTGATCATATCAGTCAGTCTTGTAATATTGCTTTAAAATGGCTTGTTAGAAGTATTGGCATAATGTAACAGACATTTTGTATAGGATTACCAATAGCTTGGGACTATTGTTGGTGCATTGCCTCCTTACACTTTCTTGTAATGCATCTTAAAAGCAAAGAAATATTCTATATAATTTCAAATTATCACATTAGATTGTAGGCAAAATTCATGGTAATTGTCATGGTAATTCATGTCACTGTAGATGAAGACATACACAATATGTATGCTCTCATGCTTCGTCTGATATTTGTTTTAAAGCTTAACTATGACAACAAAGAGAAGAAAAAATTACTAGTAAATTTTCTTTTGATTTGACCAAAGATTTTTGGAGAGAGTCCTATGGTTTCCATTATTCTAGATTTGTGCACTTGATAAACCTGGCATCTGCTGCTTAAAGCCTTTGTTGTGTGGATTGAATATTGTGTATTAAAGTGAAATATACATTTGCCGTACTGAATTAGTTCACATGTTTACAAAGAATATAGACAAATGTTAAGATCAAAGCAAAATGGGATTTCCATTACCGTTGAGTTCAATTCTTTTTGTGTGAATCATCAATTTAGCAGGATTGGTAATTTACTGCAACATTGAACTGTTGTGTAGACATCAATGCAGATTGTGGATCAGTCAGATGAAGTTTGAAGAACTTGATTAAATGTTGATTTTTTAACCCAAGGAGTTTGCATAATTTTGGTGCATTAACCCTTTCCCTTTTTTAAAATTAAATGGTTAATTCTTTTCAGCTGAATGCAGAAATCATCCCTCAAGGATAAAAACGAGGTTACCTTTTCAGATGAGTCATCAAGTGCCTCAGTGTCTCATAATGTGCAGGAGGGAGTAACATTAAGGAATCATTGATGGCCTCCAGTCTGTCGTCTGGGTTAATGATTTCTAATTAAGAGCAAATACACAATAGTCATAAAATAAACATTGATGAATTTTATGTTGGGAGCTGGTATTCATCTTGCCCTCAGTTGAAAAGTAGGTTGAACACCACGCTGAATTTAGCTTTGCTGCCACACAGTGATAGGATGTTAGAGGGGTCTAAATGAGACTAATTTAGGACTTCCACCCTTCAGGGACAAGAATTGCCAGCCTTGCTACTGCTGGCTAATCTGCTGGGATTGGAGTCTCTAGGAAATAAGAACATGGATGCATGACTTTAAATCAAGGCACAGTGGTTGGAGAGAGATTAAATTTCCCAATGGAAGGATGGGTGGTCAGCCTTTAAAGGCCAAGGGGAAATACAGAGGGAGGGCACCTTTGGGGTGTTCCTGATGGGCATACGCTACCCCAATATCCCTCCAAAAGAAAGTTACCTCTGTCCCTTCCTGTCCATCTTTATCTCTACATTGAAACCTGATAGACTGCCTTCCTTCTGGTTTCTCCAGCGGTGTGTATTATTGTGGTGAGGCAAATAGGGTTCTTAAAACAGCTGTTAATTGACTACTTAAGAACTTAGATAGGCCTAATTTCTTGCTGGGGTACAGGTGAAAGGGTGCCACTGTGCCCTCAGATACCTCATTCCAATAACCAATATTCAATCAGCAGATGTAAATCTATTGTCAGGCTGTCTGACAGCCTGAGGCATGACATTTTTAGAGATGGAATAGAAATGACTAGATTTCCTGTTATGCATTTCCAGTAAGCACAGGAGCTGGCTAAAGATCACACAGCGTTAGGAGTAATATGTTAGCTTGGATAGATGGATGGCTGCCCAACAGAAAGCAGAGTGCTGAGATAAGTAGGTGTTTTCTGGTTGCTAAGGTGCAACTAATAGGGACGTCATAGGGTTCGGTCCTCGGGCCTGAACTATTTACAATCTATATTAATGACTTGGTTGGAGAGATAGGTGTACAATAGCCAAATTTGCAGATTACATTAGTTGGGAAAATAGGTTGCAAAGAAGATGAGCAATTTAAAACAGACAGGAGGAGAAATTGCTCCTCCAATGGTTGTACATCTGTGGAACTCACTATCCCAGAGTACGGTAGCAGCCATGACAATGACTACATTTAAGGAGAAGATAGACAGATTTTTAATTAAGGGTTAAAGGATAATGGGGAGAGGGCAGGAAAGTGGAGTTGAGACCGAGATGAGATCTGCCATGATGTGTTAAATGATGGAGCAGGCTCAAAGCGCTGAATTGCCTTCTCCTGCTCCTAGTTCTAATGTAAACTGTGATGCCCTTTGACATTTGAATTGACTGTCAAAACACACTGTTTAGGCTTAGCCGCCCACCTGTGGTGGACCTACGAGAGGTGGCACAGAGCATCTAACCGCAGAATCAAATGTCTGGAACCAAATGTCACACTGCAGGTGAGGTAACAAAATTAGTGAGATACAGAAGAACACTCTAGTGATCTTTGTCCACAGCTACCTTTTTTGACAAAATAGCTTTAAAAATTAAAAATGCATGCAATAACGGAATTAGCATTATTACAGAGTATCCCTATCTCAGTATCTTGTCCATTATTCATCAGCTCCATATGTCAATTGGACAGGATCTTAAAATTCACGTGATACTTACTGGCTGCTTCAATGAACTTTTGATATGAATCATAGGTGATGACAGGAATAGGCAAATCCCTAAAGTACAGTTTAAGTGCACCGGCAATGATGTTGATGTCTGCATATGCAGTGGCAGAGATGTCAGCTTTGTCACCATCTAAAAAGACAACATACCGCAATAAAGAAAACTACCCAAATCTTACACAAGTTGCCTTAAAAAGAATATGAGTTACTTATCATTCCTTCAGATCTTCATACAGATAAACAAAACAATCTTAGTGATGGGCGGAGATTTGTTTCCTCTGCAAATAATTAGTAATTTTGCGTCCTTGTTTGAACACGTGAACGATCACTTTACCAGCCTTCAAGAGGCAACAACTATTTCACCACTCCAGAATCTGAGCTCAAAGTCCATGGCTGATATTTCAGGGTAGTACTGAGGGAGTGCTACCCTGTGAAGGTGTCATCTTTTGTTAAGCTGAGCCTTCAACTACCTTCTTAGGAGGCTGTAAAATATCTAATGCATTACTTTGAAGCAGACCAGGGGAGTTATCCGCAGTGTCCTGGCCAATATTTACCCCTCAATAAACAGCACAAAAACAGATTATCTTAGTAATTATCATTTTGCTACTGTGGCAACTTGCTGTGTGCGCAACTGTACATTAACAATAATTCATTGACAGTTCAAGAACTGCGCAAAATTTAGTTCTTCAGAAAATGTGTAAGAAGTAATCTAGTACATATGCAAATTCATCCAATATCTCCAATAAAGGATTCTACTCTAAAATTAACCAGTGAAGGGAAGCTTGTAGTAGACAGCAATTAAATTCCCCTATCCCTCCCCCAAGGCTTTAGTTGAAATAGTAGTCTTGTGCTAGACTGTGGCCAACTGCTGGTGGTAAATGCAGGTAAGCCACCTAACTACATCTGGATCAGACCGTCTATGACCCTAACCAAACAAAATCCAGCAGCCTGCCCAGGTTTTCTCAGTAGCTGCTAGCCATGATGTGCTGCAGCAACTCTGCGACACTACCCGGTACCATAGAGAAGAGGAAATGCCAGCGAGCCCAGCTATGACCAACAGCCTGTCAGTCAGGAGCAGCTGAAGGGAGCTTGGCAACCAGTAAAGAAGTTCAGCCTCATTGAGCAATTTGCAGTGGACTCCAGCAGAATAGGGCTCTGCGGACCCAATAAGCAGTGACTATAATGCAGACAGGAGCAAGGGGAACCTCAGCAGGCAGCATAGAACACAATATCCCAAAGACCCTGTCAAACTCCAAAGCAACAGCCACACCACCCCACCCCACCCCCCACCCAACATACACCCACCCACACACCCCTCACTCTGCAAACAGGCCTCCAGCACAGTTCCACTCTTGGCGAGCCCATCACAGGAGCAATTGTAAGTTCAATGTTATATTTTTCTTTTATATTTTCAAATTGATTTTATTTTGACAGACATTTCATTTACCAATGTAGGAATAAAGCTACTTGTAGCATTTCTCAATTTAGAGGGTACAGATATGTTTTATCTATTCTCATTTGCCAAGAAAGGCCCTACAAAGCCTAAATCCAATTTTAATTTGATTCCTGTGGAACAGAGCACTCAAAAACTACTTTCTATGAGAATTAATGCTCAATTAAAGTTGTGATTTTCAGGTACACAACCCTGATGTTAAGTGAGGACGCCCTGGAATTGAACTGTGGTCGAATAGTGTACGGAGTTCCACGACAGATGTAAAACTAAATAAACAACAATGGAGATGTGAACTGGTGTGTACAGTGCAAACCATAAAAATAGTTGTCAAATTTGTGTTTAAGATCTTGCTACAAATAGAAAAGAAAATCTTCCCCAAGTATGAAATGGAATCTTCTTGTTATTGCACTGTTGCCTTTACAAGTGAAGGCAAAATGAAAACTTACAAAACTGATAACTTGAAATATATGTTTCCTTTATAGGTAAAACCACAAGATAAAGCATTGCACTCACCTCTGTCAAATGCCATTTTAACATCTTCTATGTGCTCAGTAAAACCAGAGACCCTGTAAAGCCCTTCAGATTTCAAACCTATTGAACAAAATGAAAACTGTTGTTTTATTTCTTGCATTATGTACAGTGGGGTAACAGAGAAGCTTAAAGTGCACGTTTTGAAATCACATGCATGAATAATCTAATGTTGCGAGCAATACAAGCATCAAGAATTCACAACCATACTCCAGCACGAAAAAGCCAAAATGCCTATTAATTAGCTTATTGATTTTAGTAGGAAAAACAGGTCCTATTTAATTGTATCTCCTATCTTCTAAAAATCAAACATGTTGAAAAGAATAATACTCTTCAAGGTAAATGCTTCTTGAAACAGAAAGATATATTCCACATTTTAAAGTAAACTTTTAAACCTTGATTGGAACAGTAAGCTCACAACACTCCAAAAAAATTGCATTGCAATATTTTCATCCCATATATAGTTGTACTATAGAATGCCCTCTTCACCCGCAACCTTTGGAACCACATGCTAAATATACATCCTCCTTTCACATAACAGAAAAGCTGTTATGTAATGATCACTACAGGTACAGGCAAAGAAATGAGAGTGCCAGTAAATTTTTGCGTTTGATGAGAAAGCCATGTGTCAGACAAGCTGAGACAACAAGGTGCAGGGCTGGATGAACACAGCAGGCCAAGCAGCA